GAGAGAGAGAGAGAGAGAGAGAGAGAGAGAGAGAGAGAGAGAGAGAGAGAGAGAGAGAGCATTCGAAAAGAATGACAGCCGTTATCGGGACGCTACGCAGTCCGTCATGCGGATGTGAATTTTGTGCTTGTGAAGGTGGAGAGGGCGGTCAATTGACCCCCCTCCCCGCACCGCGTATGAATTGATGCCATGTCGATGGCTCTTTGACGGAGATGAATTGGAGAGAGGGTGCGCAAAGTAGTGATTTAGGAGAGGATATATAAACTTGAGGACTCCCGCCGATATTCCTCTGCTTGGATTTGAAGACCTCTTAGGCACAATGGTGTTAACGATGATGTCTATGTGATATGAGCGTCAGCGACATTATAGTTCCTTGGCTGCAGTCGTTGGATATCGCTCAGCTAGGGAAGTTTGCGTGATTGCTAGATTGCTTGATGGATTGGGTTATTGGTTGATTGATCGACTGACTGCATGTTTTCTCGTCTGATTGTTTGATTGATTGATTGGCTGTCTGATTGATTGATTTCCCGACGAATCTATGAAAATAATGGAAAGTCTATAGATTTGATGGATCGGGGAATCGATCGACTGATCTCTTGATTCGGATTGATTGGGTAGACTTGAAGAAGTGGGATTTAAAGTGGGAGACCCCCTGAGATTGATTGATCACCTCGTTTAATAATCGCGGGGGGCTGGAGAGAGTTGAAGCCGTCGAAGACCAGATCCCATCGCCGCTTGCATTCACCGTCAGTACTGCTGCCTTTCGTTCCAGTGGCGCGCGCGCGAGGGAAGGAAGGGCGAAACTGCACGGCCGAAGTCGCGTCTTCGAATCCCGTTTTTCCCGGGAGGTATGGCTGAGTGTCTGCAAGGCATTGGTTTGCTACATCAACATACAACGAGATTGTATTCACGGGTTCAAATCCCATTTTTGCCGTTCTGTCGAGGGCGTGGTAGAACTTTTTTTTTTTTTTCCCGAAGTATGAAGTTGAAGCCTGTCTTTTATTCGTTCTCCTATCGCATTGGCTGCTGACTCTCTCTCATGTGAGTACTCCTTTTTTGCAGAAGCGCCAATGGAGTCAGAACATAGAACCGTTGTATTGATTTGTATTCATTTATTAATGAAATTGTGACCCATCAAAATTGCATGAATAGCTAAGGGGGAGGGAGGGCAACAACGTCGAGAGGATGCGAATTCTCGATTGTTGTTGGGATTCATGCGAGAGGTTGTCGTTGGGATTCCGCCGCTGACGAGAGGGGTTCTTCAGATGGCAGCGGGACGGATTGGCGTGTTGTTTGATAGGGGCAGCGGGTACCACGAGGCTGATCGTGTGTGATTGGTCTAGAGAGGCTTCGCAAGGTGGAAGTCGGGACTCTAATCAATCAATTCCCTCTAGCAAACCACAAGCGGAAAGCATTTCGCTTGCGCAATCCAATCGCGGCTGGGCGTTGATGTAGGGGGGTGGGCCGCTTGCGGCGGCATTCGAGAGGCGCTTGCGCGAAAAATCAAGTCTCGTCGAGGGGACGGCAAACACTTTTGTTTCTGTCATGGGCATCATGATTATCAGCATCGGCATCAGAAGTCATCTTTTCAGAACTGTGATGATAATCATTCTCGAGTTGTCATCATGCTTACCGTGCCATCATCATCGCCCATCATCATCATCGTCATTATCAGCATCGCCGATCATCATCATCATCATCGTCATCATTACCACGATCGTGATCGGTATCATCTTCGTCACATAATCTTGATGTCACCGCGACGCTTAACGGTGTCACACGATTGATGAGATGGTAGTCTGGGTCATGATTAGACGTTCGGGGTCGTTTCATCCCGCATTACAGATTACGATTGGGTATAATTGCGCAACAGCGAATATCTTGAGTGCGGTGGAGTGCGCGTGATAGTGTGGAATGACGACGTATCATTAATTTGTTGTCATATTGTTTGCTCGAATCGATGGGTTTCGTGAGGCGCTTAGCATTATGAGAGGGGTTTCATGAAGCATCGGAGAACTCATCTTGAGGGTGATGGGTGGTGGGTGAGAGAGTGGGAGATATCTCAATTAATTAACCTTATGTCTACTGTACCCAGGTACTGATGGCGTGTAGAGTAGGGTTGCAGGGATGTGGCGCTCACGGCGTGCGTCACCTGCTGCTAATAAAAGGGTACCGAGATCACACAGGCATCGTCACGTGTCTCGCAGTCGTAATAGGGTCATCTCGTCAGTTTTCCTTTGTACCGAAATTACATGGGTATCATCGCACGCGTCTGGCAAGCGTAATAGGGTATCTTTCTTCTCAGTGAGTTGGTTCTGATGGCGAACTGAAAGGCACAGTGTTAGGGCGGGGGTACTGACAATGTTTGGGAGGGGTGGAGTGCACGGAGCAGGGGTAGTAGTGGAGGGGAAAGTGACTGACAATTTGTGTGAGGGGTCTGAGTGCAAGACAATTTGTGTGAGGGGTCTGAATGCAAGAAGTAGGAGTTGCAGTAGATGGGAAGGAAGGGGGAAGGATATGCGGTGGTTGTGGCAATTCAATGCCATTGTCCAAGCTCGCATTTGCAATGGTGTCTGGATCTTCCGATCTGTATCCCGTCTCACCGCCCCCTTTCACGTCGGCCGCGTCACTCCCTCCCTAGCCTCTTTCCCCTGGTCTATTTGCCCCGTGTTCCTTCGCCGCTGCCCTCCTCTACCGCGCTCGTATCTGCGCAGCGCAGGTCTCGGTAAGTTGTCTCTCCCCCCCCCCCCCTCTCTCCCCCATGCCTTTCCCGTCGTTCCTCGGCCGTCTGTCTGTCTCTCTGTCCACCTGGCAAAAATTGGCAAGGATATCAAATCTTAGCCGACGCGAGCCAATAGTATAGAGGGTGTTTGTCATGTCATCCTTTACAGAGTAGCGTTCCCCATTAAGGTACCGTATGAGTGGAATCCTCCTTCCCCTCCCCCCCACTGCTCGTCGCATCGATCGTTCCTGTCGGGAGAGGGAAGGAAAAGAGGGGAGGATTGGTAGGGGGACCCCGCGGGGGATTTGTTTGTCCCGACCGCGATTGGATATAGAAATCGCAGGGATCTCTTTCCCGCCGAGTCCCGATCGCGCTCCCAACTTGATCCTGGTGGGTTTCTCGTTCCGAGTCCCGATCGCGCTCCCAACGCGATCCTGGCGGGTTTCCCTTTCCCAGTCCCGATCGCGCTCCCAAGTCGCTCCGAGGGCGATCTCGATGATAAGGAGGTGTACCACGCTCTTGCTCTCAACGTTTTTACGTAGGGCGGGCCTGTATCATGAATGCATCGGCCTTATTTTCTTCTCAGATGCCGTCAAGGCATTTTTTTCTCAGATGGAGCCGCGGCCGGGGACAAAAGGTGTACGACTCTCGTGCACCCTTACCTGTCCTTTCCACCTCACGGCACTGTTCACTTGTCTTTCTTCCCCTTCCCCTTCCCCTTCCCCTTCCCCGGCCTCCCCCGCCCCCTTCCCATCTTCTTCTCCACGTACACCCTCAACCCCGTCCAGGTTTTCGTTCTCTGTCTGTCTTCCATGCGGGAGTGTCACAGGAGTGGAGGAGAATAATGATTACCTGGCAGTGAAAGAAATTATGGGCTTCTGGAGTTGTATTGACGCGGGTGATGATGTTAACAAGGCTTTCCTGCTTCTCATCTTGGTGTCATGATTGTGCGACTTCTGACTCGACGAGTTGACGGATTTACACGACGTGCTGATTGGGATATGACATGCTGATTAAGATGAACCAACTCCCCAAAGAAGAAGATTGCAGGGCATGCTGATTCGGATGACGATACAGATCTTAGTTTTTTCCATACCTACGTGATTGCTTGACCTACGTGAGTACTTGGCCGATGCGTGAGTGATTGTTCTCCCTCTTACCCATTCGGGGATAGGGCGATCGGAATTCTTCGTCGTCGTCAAGTTGAGACAGGAGAGGGTAGAGAGGGGTTGAAGCCTGTCCGAAGGCGCCGCGTGTCGGGTATCTGGTCAGGAGGAACTGCGGCGGAGCTCAGATCGAACTGGGATCCGGGTCCTTTGTCCTATGTTTCGTTTGATGGTATTGTCGATGGCAAGTTGTGATGGGTCTTCATGGTGGCTGTTGATCGGTATGCTTTGTATTTGTTGGGAACGATGTAGCGTAGCTCTCTTCGTCTGATTGTCCATCTCACGTTGTATGCAAGCCACATTCTTTGCCTCTTTGCTGGGTCCCTTGTTCTTTTTTTTTCTTCTTTCTTTCTTTCTTCTGTTTGTTGCATTTCATGTGGTCCATTTTGGTGATGCTGGTGTTGTGGTGATTGTTTTGGCATCCAGCTCTTGCTTCGTTCCCGTTACTGATCTGATGGCTGTGTCTTTGGTGCTGCGTGTAGCTGCTAGCATTCAAGGCGAGGAACAAGGACAACAAGGAGAAGAAGAAGGGTGGTAGCAAACCTGGACCCACTCCAGCTGTAGAGAAACCTGCTGATGGTGGTGGTCTGCTTCCGCCGGAGCATGGCTCTGCAAACGGCGGGATAAAGCAAAAACCGCGGGAAGGTGTACTACCCTCAGGTGGGGTTTCCCAGCCTCCTACTGAAGTTTATCCTCAGGATGAGCTAGTGTTCTTAGCATCAAATGGTCGTGTTGCTGAGGCGGGTTTGCGTGGGAACAAAGCTTCTATTGCAGGGGATGGCGAGCCTAGGAGTGTGGCCAGGGGTCAGGTGGACTCTCTTGAAAATGGATCAGCAGAAGGACAATCGCGTTCCAAAAATAGCACCCCCGAGAAGTTGTCGGTGGTGGGGCCCCCAGCTAGCCCCCAAGAACAGCATCAGCATCAGCATCAGCATCAGCATCAGCACTCGGGACATGGTCTTCTTCCGGCTTCCTCCGAAGCTAGTGGAGCTTCTCTGGTGCAAACTGTCACGTTGCCGGTCGTTGAAAGTGCATCCGAAGTCGTAAGTGGTGGGCACACTGTGATGAAACCACCATCGTCTTCGGCCATTGGTTCTTGGCAGCCTGAGACAGAGCCATATACGGCTCGCTCGTCAGCCTCCCAAACCTTGCCAGTACATGAGGTGGCACACCTGCTCGCGCAATCTGCGTCGTTATCCCAACCTTTGGTTGCTATGTCTGCGAAAGGAGATGATGTGGCTTCTCGGCTAGCAAGTACCTCTGCAGCTTCGTCTTCTGCTGCGCCAGTACAGGCTTCTTTGTCATCCAAGGGGTCATCAGCATTGTCCGTCTTGTCGTCTGTTCCATCTTCTCTCCCTGGAGAGCAGAGGGGTGATCAGAAGGAATGCCCGCCCGGGGGAGCTGGTGCACCGAATGACTTGTCTAGTGGTGTGGTCGTTTCATCTAGGCATAGCCAGCCTGGCCCTGGGCTGGTAGCCTCACCGACGTCTTCGGAAACTGTTTCGCCTGAAGGGATACCGAAGTCCACTGTACCGTACGGTTCTTTGTCCCCATCAAGGTCTGATGCTCCTGCAGTGTCAACCTCTACAGATTCACCAAACCTGCCACGGAGAGGGAAGAGTGGGTCGAGTAAGGGTGTAGCAGGCTCATCCATTGGGAAAGTCACAAGTGGTGCAGGGCCATCGAGACGCTCTGATGAAGGGAAATGGATGGGGTTGTTGCGGGAAATGCAGGGCCGACAGAGCAAAGAGTCATCAAGGGAAAAGGCAATCATGGCTGTCACTGGCAGAGAGGGCTCTCCACAGGGGCCTCCTCAGTTAGGAAATGTGCGGTCGAAGGAGGAGCAGACCGGTCTCCCTTTGGCCCGGGAGGAGGGATTGGCAAGGGCAGTGGAAGAACCTGCACGGTATCCCCCAATCGCACCTGCAAAGGATGCAATTTCAAGGAGCCGTGCATCCTCTTTTCCATCTCTAAGTTCTATCCCAGGGGCAGTAGCAGAGCCAGGGAAGGCTTCCTACACCAGTCATCTGGAAAATGCCACCAAGCTAGACACACTGACCACCACTGAGCTGACATCCTTGACAGCATCTGCATCGTCGTCTCTGTCAAACTCGCTTCCTCCCATGGCTGGCCCTGGTCGGACAACGAGTCCTGTGTTCTTATCTGCGCTTTTGCGACCTTCGTCGACGCCCTCTTTGTCCGTCTCACAAGGATTGGATCTTCTGAGGAAGCCGGCAACAGGGTCAGCACTTTTACCATCATATTCTTCAACTTCAACCCCTGCTGCCCCTGCAGGTGGAAGATTGAGCACGTCGTCGTCCCCTTTCATGACTCCCACAAAAACTTCCACAAGTGCACCGAGGCTAGACCACCTGTCCTCACCTACAACCTCACTATTCTCGACCCCAACTGCGCCTGCGTGGCCTTCTGATGGATCACGACGCCCAGTTACGCCACCCCTTCATGCCGGTTCCTCGTCAGCGGAGAGCCCCTCTTTGAGCTCTCACACATCTGCGGCTCCGTTGGGTTTTGTATCACGTCAGAGTGAATCAGCACGTGATGGGACTGACCAAGTGAGGGAGCGAGTTGGTGGTGGTGCTGTGCCAGCCGTGCCGTCTCTGCAGAGCGGCGTTGCAGAGGATACCCATGTGCAGCATGAGGAGGAGGCTGGTCGGAACCCCAGTCTAAAGCCCTCTGTATCAAGTGACTTCTCAGCTCTGGAGCAGGTGATCTTCATTTTCTCCTGTCCTTTACTTCACGGCCATTATCCCGAAAAGGTCGTGTATAGGTGTGGGCAATCATTCGTGGGCATGTGTGTGTGTGTGTGTGTGTGTGTGTGTGTGTGTGTGTGTGTGTGTGTGTGTGTGTGTGTGTGTGTGTGCAAGGAAGGGGATTATAATGTTGTTATCTATACACATGGGTACCATACGATCACCGGTTCCTAATGCCATGTGGACCAATGGGAGGGCCACTGCCAAGCCCCGCAAAAGTACGCATCCCTTCCCTGGAGAAAAACAACTAGAAAAGAGGTTCAGAGCTGCTGGTCAGGCACACTCAAGATGAAAAGGCCAGAGTGCAACCAATGTGAATTGAGTCCTGATTTGGGGCTTTTCCGAGTCTATGAGGACGTACTCACTCTAAGACATCTCACTTGTCTGAAAATTCGGTCAGATGCATCCAGTAAAGTGCTGGTGCGAATATTCCATACCTAGGTCGTGGTAAACCGTGGTGCCATGAGAATCTCTGGCCTTAGAGCGGAAGGGAACGTTAAAAGCGGAAAACCGCTAAGAATGTGGATTGACGAGGGAGCAAGAAAGGCAACAAACTCATTGTAAAGAGAAGCAAGTCTTGGATGCCGGGGCTGTTCCCACTCGCTCTACAAACTTTCAGCACTCCGACTGTTTCACCATGTGATGCAGAGGAATTGTTGTCTGACACTGCCGTTGTGCAGCTGAGCGAGCAGTAAAGATGCTGTCTTACCTCTGGGAAGGACCATTTATACAGAACAGTAGTAAAGCGCACAGACTTCTGTGATGTTGACAAGCTCTGACCACAGAGAGGCAATGACAAGAAAAGTTGTGAAGTCGAAGTGAAGGTGGAGGTATTTAGAAAAGAACTTGAGCGCTTCATTTGGTGTTCATAAACGGGCACAGGGAATGCAGTGGTAGCTTCAAAGACACGGTGATGGGGTGACGATAGGCAGAAGGGAGTATTAGAGATAGACAAAGGGCTAAATGTTCACAGCACTTGGCAAGAGAGAGAGAGAGAGAGAGAGAGAGAGAGAGAGAGAGAGAGAGAGAGAGATTGCACCTGACGGCGACGCATTGGATGTTGGAGGGAGGGATGCAACGATGACAGATATCGTCGGCAGGGAGGGCACAGGGAATGCAGTGNGAGAGAGAGAGAGAGAGAGAGAGAGAGAGAGAGAGAGAGAGAGAGAGAGATGTACACATTCGTTATCAGAGAGAGAGAACAACAGATGCAGAGAAATTGAAATTAAAATCATAACTAACAAAAAAATCTGGCTGATGAGCTGTAGTGCTTTTTTCTAATGCTAACACCATATACCCTGATGATTAATTTATCCAAGCCGGCGCAGAACAATCAGAATGAGGGTGCATTTTGGTGGGGGGAAGACAGTACATGAGGACTAAGGTTCCCTGGAAACCGATCTGTCTCGATTGCTGGATGGTGAACCTGTAATGACTTTCTCCTAGGCGTGAGCTCACTGCGCACCCTATACAAACTAACTCTCTGGTAGTGGTGTAATGCATGAGTTAGGTCACATTTAGGCATGAGATCACTGCATGCCCTATACAAACTAACTCTCTGGTAGTGGGATAGTGCATGAGTTAGGTCACGCCCACATGCAGGTTCGAGCTGTGTGCTTGAAAGTGCCATCCTGGATGCATAGCCTACATCGGCCCCTACATGGTTTATTGCAAGTTGGGATTGATGTTTGCCAATCTGAAGGTGCACCGAGACAATAGACACTAGCCAATTGGGATGGTCAGGGCGTGGACATGGCATTACCTGGGCATATGGATGTAGTGCTCACGTCATTGAAGATCAATTCCTTGTGTGGCCAATCTGATAGAAAGTCGACAGGGAAGGCCCACATGTGCATACACTTGTGTAAGACGCTTGTTGTAACCCTACAACTAGTCCATGTAGGAGCCTGTGCCACGTAGCATTCAATTTGATATTGGGGTGATGATGTGGTAGGGCGGGCTATTCTGGCGACAGGAAAGTCAGGTGCTTTGGAGCCAACAATGAGGGACTGGAAGGATATGGCATTTATATATGGAACAGCTGATTATACACGGGTAAAAGTCACTATTTTTACGTTCATCAGACATACTCACTGTTATTTGGTTGCCTGCGCTGTGGGATTAACAGCTCTTTTGCCCGATGTCGTAACCATAGGTCTGTAGTAGTCCGGTCTTCCTTTCCCCTGTGGCAGACGTCAGACAAGATAGAAGTATTCGCTCAATGAACACGGACATGCAGCACATGAGAACAGTGCTGGGACATGCCATCACAGGTGGAAGGAATCCTTAGCTACTAGGCTCTTGTACTTGCAGGAAAGTCTTGGAAAAGCTCACCCCCCTAATGCATTAATCATAGGCTGTAAAAGCTGGTTTTCCTTTTGTTTCAACCGGAGTCTCATTTCTTCGGGCTGCTGGCCGAGGTTCTGGCTGTGTTGGAGTACGACAGACATAACGGACTGCATGCAATGTATCAGGCGTACAATAGAAGACAAACAAAAAGCAATCACTGTGAAGTAGGATCATAGAATGAAGAGATAACCAACGGGCCTACACCCGTCAACTGTTGAAATACAGACCTCGATTTGAACGCAGATAGAACTAGATGAACAGGTTCTGAATTTCCTTGGGTTGGTCAGTTCGACGATGATATCTGAAGACCGTCACCCTTTTTCTTTCTTAAAAAACAGAAGAAAAGAAAAAAGGACGAGGAGATACCACTACAGAAGCGGGTTGCATGTAACGTCTTCTCAGGGGATATCATATCTACCATCTTTGGGTGTCATACCTGATAGCAATACTGACCGAATTCGGTTGAAGCAGTGCAGGTTTCAACGTGGCACTATTTGCTCGGAGGAGATTTGGCACTTTCAGCAGGTGAACAAGAAGGGCAATGCACTGGCAGTGGGGCTGTGCAGTGATAGTGCCAATGAAGTCTCTTATGACAAAATTAGTGATGTTTTGACGGTGTATAGTAATCCATGTTTGAAAAGTTGAAAACCTGTTTGGCCTAACCTACAAAAAATGCTTTATTTTGTTTTCAGACCTTCTTGGTCCTTGTACTGAAGGGCAAGGTTCACAGAGTGGCATCCCGTCGCTATACGTCTTTTCCACATTTGTTTTTTGAGTGTGCACTTGTCTCATGGAGAGGCTTACCTGTCTTCAATTAATGGTGAACACCTATACATGGTGTTATAGGAGTCAAGAGCTCACTCACTGCCAGATTTAGGGGAAAAAATGGTCATCTACTTTGCGTAGGTGGATTGGATATTCTACAGATCTTTATGCTGGATGACTCTGGAAAGAGGCAACAGGCTCTTGCTTGTGATTAAGTGGCGGATCCGACCACACTGGATCAATGGTATGATGTTACCAGTGCAGCACAAATGGTTGATGAGGTAATTCTGACCTATGTCTAGCAGAATGCTACCATCCTAAAGGTGGTGGGTGACATGCGCAAGATACCCTTGCTACATGTGTGTGTGCGTGTGTGTGTGTGTGTGTGTGTGTTTAAATGCGATTGTTAAATGCCATGTGCATGGATTGGATTCGGACTCTCAAGTTTGGGGATGCACAACAGAGGCACACATACACACGTGGTGAGGGAGGGGGAGGGAGAGGGGGAGAGAGAGAGAGAGAGAGAGAGAGAGAGAGAGAGAGAGAGAGAGAGAGAGAGAGAGAGAGAGAGAGAGAGAGAGCTAAGGTGGGGGGGAGGAAGGTTGAGGAAGGATGTGGCCAGAGAGTTGGAAGTGATGGTTTTCTGGTAATGCATTAGTTGTTTATGAGGTCTCCTGGCATCGGAAATGTTGCAGGTTGTAGGGGCTGGTGGTTGGTCAACCACATACAGTCTGGAAGCTATTTAGTGCTGTCCTAGTCTTAATGCTTTTGCTTGGTTATGAAAAATCTCTGCAGCATATTGAAGACTTGACGCAGGAGAGGTATGCTCTACAGAGAGCTGTTGATGCAGCCAGAGTCCTGTCGGAGTCCCTTGCAAAAGAGAACTCCCAGTTGACTGACGACTTCAACTCGCAGGTACTTATATTGACCTAAATCGGAAAATCCTCGTTTGGTGAATGGAGCGGGAGGCATGAGCAGTTTGAAACGGCATGGCAACTTAAAGAGTGCAGCAATGGGGTTACAAATTACAATATGATTGTTCTTCTCTACTAGAACACTTAAAAACTTATTCGCCGTGGGTGCCTATACCCCCGCCAAGCCTGGGCTCTCAGCCTTGGCGGTCCCGCATTGCCGTTTGATGGTCCGATTACCGTCAATGGCATAAAACGAGAGTTGGGTGGCCAAACTGGTCCCGGTTTGCCGACGTGTGACCGTGTAGGGCTTTGGTTTTGTTCATACGTAACCTTGCTTTGTCAACTCATAAATCGGCTGATAAATTTCTGACGCTGTCAAAGCACGGAGACGTCTGATAGTGAAGTCAAAATCTGCGTTGTTTTGAGGTGTTGATCCTGGTGTCAGAGGTGTTGTTGGTGTGTTTTGTTGTTCTGTTTTGTTTACTTTTGTTTGTTTGGGTCTTAGATTGTTTTTTTGGTTGAAAGTGGGTTGTGTGGAGCGTGGGGGCGGTCTGCAGCTCGAACCCTTGCTTCGCAGGCGTGCAGTTCTTCGACAAAGAAGTTGGAAAACTGTATTGGCCAGTTTTCACGCGGCAATGCATGCCATTCGCTGAATGGAGGAAAACTTGTGTGGTGATGTGTGTTATTTGTGGGATGGTGGAAAATTTGCACAGGTCTCTGCCGTTTGACCGACGGTCGAAATTTTGTGTGGCGATGTGTGCTGCTTGACGGCCGGCTGCGGATGCACTGTCACCCACGCACCGAGGCCCCCACCCACACGTTCACGCATGCCCCAGTCCACCCACTCAAATGCACATATGCATGCATGCATGCAGGCACCCACCCACCCACTGACACGCGCACGTGCATGTAGAGCGGGTTTTATGGCCGTGACAGACTAGTTTCTCAGACTTACTACCGTTCTTGTCAGGGGATTGGATCAACAGTCGGATAGGATTGCAGGGTTGGTGCGAGTAAAGTCACCCACATTTCTCAGGGGTATCGTCAACTCTGGGCGACATGGTGAGTCCTTATCCATCAGTCAAATGCATCCTGGAGAGACTTCTGGGGTTCAACCTCATGATGAGTTGGTGAAAGTCTGGCGAAACAGTCTGGCCCAGATGCACTTTTGTGGAGTTGTGTATAGCGAACATGGCAACACACATATTGTTGGAGGTAGGGTTCAAACCCAGGCACATATCTTGAGGTACCAGCCACCGGATGAGTTCACCACTGAGGTAGACTGGGCCCTGTCACCCAGTCACCCACCCACCCACTGACCCACCTAAACATGCATGCATACACACACACACATATTGTTGGAGCTGGGGTTCAAACCCATGCACAGATCTGGAGGTACCAACCAACTGATGCGTTAACCACTGAGGCAAAGTGGGACCCCGTCTCAACTTCGGAGCTGTTAGACCTCACCACCAACTTGCATGCATACGTGGCTGCTTCCTCGGCTAGATGGGAAAGAGAGAAAAAACATCAAAAAGGATGAATTGTCCTGTGACCTTCCTACCGTGGCACAAACGGCCGCTCTGTCTCTTTGTCTCTCATCCGAGGCAGTACTATGTAGGGAAAATGGCTTCCCGCTGTCTCTTTGCCTCTCTCTGCCTCTCTGCCTCTCTGCCTCTCTGCCTCTCTGCCTCTCTTCGTGTCTGTCTCTCTGTCTCTCTCCGTGTGTCTGGCTCTCGGTCTCTCTCCGCGTGTCTGTCGCTGTCTCTCTCCGTCTCTCTGTCTCTCTGTCTCTCTGTCTCTCTGTCTCTCTGTCTCTCTGTCTCTCTGTCTCTCTGTCTCTCTGTCTCCGTTTCTGTCTCTTTCTCTCTCTCCCTCCCCCGGCCCCCTTTTTGTTGCTGTCTCTGTCCCTTGCTTTGTGGGGTGGCACTTGCACGTCCTGAAAAGGCCTGCTGTCTCTCTCTCCTCTCCTCTCCTTGCCTC